AAGAAGGCAACTGTGGACGATTTGAGTGAAAGCATAAAAATTGAGTTTTAAAAAATGTGAGCATACATAAATTTAGTATTGTGTGAGAAATAATTTATCTTAAAAGATAGAAAAAAATTTCAATAGCCTTTCAGTCACATTTAGGAAAATTGTTTATGTGGTGCTCACCTTAATAGCGCTAATTTTTTTCTGCAGTAATTCTTTGATCTTATCTTTCACCATATTATCGTGCAGGCAGCTATAGAGAACACGTCCAATTAACACATTGGCCCATACAACACTACCGGAAGGTCCCAAAAATAACGACTGATCAATACCTTTCCACAATTCGTTCGCATGGCGCCTACTTCGACGTGACTAAAGATTTCGTACAAGATTGTATGTATTATAAAAAGGATAATGGACAAGAATTTAATTTATCTATGTAACTAAGTTCAAATGTGATTGAATTATAAATTAGACAGTAATTGAATAAATAGTAAATCATTAGTATTTGCAATAAATTATTATTAAGTAAAACACAAAATAAGAAATTATAACATACTTTCTTGTATTTTTCCGATTGACTTGCGTCGACATAAACTGGAATTTTATCTTCTTTACAAGCGGCCTTAAATGTAAAAAGATAAAATAATAATAATAATAAATAATAAACTGAAAATGAGCATAAAAAAAACAAAAGCAACTTAAAATAAATTTATTTAATAAAATCACATAAAATATACATATACAAAAGTAAACACTGCAACATAAATAGATAAATCAGTAAATTCTCCTGGGTGGGATCGTTATTTATCCCAGAACCGCTGGGAGGTATTTCTAGCAATTACCGTACCAAAAGTATGCATTTTATAATAAAAAGTTAAACATTTAGCAAACTTTTATTTTTTTTTACAAATTTTTTAAAACAGGAATAAAGACAAAGTAGTTTTGAATATTTTGTGCGCAAAAAATATTCGGTAAACACTGATTTTTACTTTTCAGGCACTGATAAAAATCAAAGTTACAATTTCATACCAATATTCTGCATAATGGGCATTTCCAGCGGTAGGTCTACCGCAAAAAAAAATTAAGTCATAAATCTGAGTTTATTTATGTTCCAAATTGGCTGCTTTTTATAACATAGAAACAGACACATTTTTGAGAAAAATCGTCTCGATAGGTCGAGATATTCTGCAAAACCGTATTTATGCTCCGCTAGGTGGCGCTGAAGTCAAAATAAAAAATATATTCGACATAGAGTTCATGTTTTATTTGCGTTAAAAATTCATTTAAGAGAATATTAACCAGCCAATTTTCAATTGAAATTTTAGTAGCGTAACATCATGTCACGTCACGTCAGATAATTCACCTCATTTTTCATTCATTATTTTTTGACATTCGGCTGATAAAAAAAAACAGGAAAATTTTTACATTTAAAAACTTAGAAAATTAACGCTAAATATTTCAAATAATACCAGAAATTTTTTTTCGCAATTTTCTAACCCAAGTCAAAATTCACTTTTATTTTTGTAACGTCACGCCAAAGCATATTTTTGCTGATATCTTTAAATCCCTGCTATCAATTGTAATTTTTTACCTATTAAAGAACTTTTTAGTTGGTAAGCAAATAAAGAAAAACCTTTTTAAAATTCAGATTTTTTCATTTTATTTGTTATCATTGTGTCAACAAATATCACGTCGTCAGATTAGAAATGCCTATATCGGGCAAAGTTGTATTTACTAAGTACGCATTTAGGTACCTACGAGTATTTATTTTGTAGTTAATAATAAAATTGTCCATGTATGGACATGAGGGTGAACTAATTTAATTTCGAAAAAACTGCATCTTCGATTCTAAGCAAAAATGTTCAACAACTATATACAAAAATAACGTTTGACGCTCTTAATTTTTAAAAGAAAAATCCGGTTATTATAATTTTTTCTGAACGAAATTAATTTTTCATTTACAAAATATTGTAGGGCGATTCGTCTAAACGCGTGAATGCCTCGTAACCACGTAAACCTCGTAAATTTCCTTAATTTTATATACAAAATTGATTTATTTACGAGGTTTACACAGTTTCAAGGCATATACGCGTTTACATAAAGAAACTACTTCACAAAATAAATTCCGAACAAAAGAGTTACAATATACTGCTTTTTCTTTTGAAAATTGGGAGGGTCAAAAGTAATTTTTGGGATATATGTAGATTGTGCACGATTTTTGCTTAGAATTAATCGTAGCATTGGAATTTGCTATACACTTTCTTCGAAAATTTTTCTCCGAACAAATAACTCCGTCCTAATGTACTAAATACTGGCTACAAAAGTAATCTCTAGAATTCTCGAAAATCCTCAACTCCCATCGAAAATCTCGAAATAGTCCAGATAACCCCGAAATAGTTCCTAGAATCGCGAAAATCCTTAAATAGTTCCGTAAATCTTTAAGTAGCCCTGAAGCAGAGAATCCCGAGAAACCTAAAATAGTCCCAAGAATCCCGAAGTGGTCCCGAAAATCCTGAAAATTCCGAGCAGCCTCCAAAATACTGAAATAGTGCTGAATTTTCCGAAATAGTTTCAAGAATCGCGAAGTAGTCCCAAACATCCAATTCAGAAAATACTGTAAAATTTAGCCCGGCATTTTATTTTTGCTTAAAAAATTAAACGGCAGAAATAATCCTTCGCCCTAAATAGTAGAAGTCAGAATTTTAAAAGGCATCCAGGAATTACAATAATGCAATGCGAGACAATTCCAATAGTATCTTTAAAAATTTATTTAAAAATTTTAAAAAAAAATTTTCTTGCGGTCTCTGATTTCAAGTGTAAATCAAATTTTAGTCTCTCCTACAGGTTTAGGTTAGCTAGATCTGTCCGACTCGTAAAACCGTAGTGTTGCCAGATTTGTGTATGACCCTTGAAGTCTTTGTCAAACACCTGATTCAAAGTTGAAGAATATTGCAGCTGTTTAGCAAATATAATACTCTTTTAACTTCTTTATCGATCGCCGACCGCAGACCCTTTAGTTGAGCTTAAGTTTTGCGCTGAAGTCTGCGCGCTTACAAATTATGTGCTCCACGGTTTCTAACTGGGTTTACATTTCCCATTGCTTGTTGACAAGAGGTACGTTATATGTATATTTGGATATACTAGTAAAGCGGTCGGCTCTTGTGAGGCAATGGTAAACCATACACTCGGAAAAGGTTTCTCACTTTCGAACCCTGACTGCGCAATTACAGCAGGGTTATTTCGTTGATTAAAAAATAAAGATGGATGTGAAGGTAAAGAGAAATTTAAAAGCATGAAAATTTGTTAATTCACGTGGACGCACCTGATAAATAGCCATAAAACGTATGTAGTCTGACGGATTGCGCGCAGCACTGGAACTCATGAGTAAACCTTCGAAGGTATCAGTTGGGGTGGGCACCCCTTCCATATCATCGGGAATATCCTTGAACGTTTCGCTCTTCTCTGTTTTACTTTCAACAACCAATGGCGGTGCCATATCCGGAGGTAGTACGTGGGACTCATTATCCCCGTTATTGTCCTGTTCCATTGAAGAAATGTCTCGCTGTGGATGTGAAATAATATGAGCATACAAATGTACATAAACGAGTATTTATGTAATTGTTAAATAATATTACCTTAGCACTGGGATCCAAAGGCATTTGTGACGCTTTTGCAACAGCCCTCTGCAACTCGGCATCGTCTACTAATTTTAGGTTAGGCAGACGCAGCACTTGTTCGTGCACATCGCCCTCGCTTGCTGCCACAAAACGCCGGTACCAGTCCTCCTTCTCGCGATCGGCACGCGCAAAGAGTATGAGACGCACCTCATCGCCGCATGGTATAAGATTATCGTTGTTCTGTGTGTTGTCTTGTAATTGCCGCAACTGCAAGTATCGCAAAATTTCAAAAAGCTTTCGAACGCTCGAAAACAGGTTTGATACTCACATCGGCATTCATAACGGCGGATGCGAAGTCAACATCATGCGAACTAGATTCGGTTTCTTTTAAATCCGTATATTGTTCCATAAAATCGTTGGAAACCTGGGATAGCCTGCTATCCATTGATATCAGTTCTGATCTACTACCTCTGGCAGAGTGAAGGATTGAAGGATTTTCCGAAAGATCTAGATGCATATCGTCTTCGCTGCCTTTTTTGATAATCAACTGTATCGGATACTTTCGATTAAAATACCTAACCAAAGCCAAGTGAAACGTTAATCTTGAATAATAAAGGTACATGCAAATTTCGAGAATTTTTGCTCACCGCTTGCGCGCCAAACCCAATGGCAAAAGTTCAATACTGCAGCCGAGTAAATTGAATGTGCGATGTGCGCTAAATTGCATATGCTTTATATCTATGGGTGGCTCGTTCCACATGACCCGCTTGGGTACGCGGGACGTTGTGGTTGAGACACGTAAAATGGTGCCATCGAGTCTCAAATAAACCGAATTGGTCTGCGATATATGAAATGTTAAGGGGTCGTAGCTGAAAACTTCGTTCATCCAACCCTGAAAAATAGTTCACTTCCAATGAAACTACATTATTTTTAAACCCTCTACACTTACTGTGTATGACTTCACTGTCTTGTGCTCTTCAACTGCAGGCACCTCACAAATTGGCATCTTCGTGAAGTCTGGTATCTCGAAGTCGGATTGTTCGGGGTGTGTTTGGAAGAATTTGTAAATAAAAGATTGTGCTAATATACTCAACGAGTCGGCAATAGCGAAACTCATCAAACACGCCAGAACGCCGCGTATAAAGCCATGCACAGGCAGGAACANCACTGCAGGCACCTCACAAATTGGCATCTTCGTGTAGTCTGGTATCTCGAAGTCGGATTGTTCGGGATGCGTTTGGAAGAATTTGTAAATAAAAGATTGTGCTAGTATACTCAACGAGTCGGCAATGGCGAAACTCATCAAACACGCCAGAACGCCGCGTATAAAGCCATGCACAGGCAGGAACAATACCATCAAAAGAATTGCCACGCGACTTATAGGCATACTGGCAGCGAACTTCCGCGTTGATCCAATGTCGCGCTGACTTTCTTCTTCGCTTCGCAGTATTTCTGCCGCACGTCTCAGTGTGTCCACTTCCTGTTGCCATTTCGCGTGCTCCGCCGCTTCGCCGGGCGTCCGTGGTGAGCGTTGATTTTCACTGCCTTCTTCTGCTTTCCCAAAATGCAGATGTAAATCATTACGCAGACGTCCAGAGGTTGTAGTAGGCTTTTCGTCGGCAACCTTTGAGTCATCTGGTAAAGTTGGTAATGTGTCCTCCATCATTTCTACGCCCGACTCGATTTCTACCTCTTTTTTGCCTGCTATTATTCCTCGCTTTTTGGTCTTCCCAATCGCCTTATTGTCCTTCGGCACCGCTTCATGGGGCTCCAATCGTGGCACCACCACTTCTCGATCGGTCTGATCCGTCGGCGATGGACGTCGTCGACGCAAAAATGCATCGCGCAATGAACCCGTCGAAGACGCATTAGAACCGCTCGATTCCTTCTTCATTGGTTTAATGGAGGCGGTGCCGAATGCAGTGGAAATTGTAGCCGATGAAAGTGCTGCAGTCGCAAGACCGGTTTGCTGTTGGGAATGTGAATGAGGTTGTTGTTGAGAGTGTTGGTGTCCTTTTGATTTGACTTTAGACTTGAGATTTGCTAGACCACGACGCAAGCGCGATCGTTCAACCTCCCCTTCAAGCAATAATTGTTCACCGTCTAGTGAGGAATCAGAATCGCCGCCTTTGAGATAGCCCGACTTACGTTCCCAGTCAAGTGGCAGGTCGTCGCTGATGGAAGAACGTGTTGTGGGATTCTCGGGATCGGAATCCGGGTCGTTGGGTAATTGTTTGAATGGTTGGCGTGGACTCTCCGCTACAAATAAGGATGAATTCTTCTACTGAATCACCAAAGCGATTTTAGTAAAGCTTACTTACCTTTGGGCGCTGATGTCGACAAAGCCTGAGCGCTGCTTTTCGAAGACTTTATATCCTCAAATGTTTGTGAAACTTTACCCTTAATTAATTTCCNACTTCATGGGGCTCCAATCGTGGCACCACCACTTCTCGATCGGTCTGATCCGTCGGCGATGGACGTCGTCGACGCAAAAATGCATCGCGCAATGAACCCGTCGAAGACGCATTAGAACCGCTCGATTCTTTCTTCATTGGTTTAATGGAGGCGGTGCCGAATGCAGTGGAAATTGTAGCCGATGAAAGTGCTGCAGTCGCAAGACCGGTTTGCTGTTGGGAATGTGAATGAGGTTGTTGTTGAGAGTGTTGGTGTCCTTTTGATTTGACTTTAGACTTGAGATTTGCTAGACCACGACGCAAGCGCGATCGTTCAACCTCCCCTTCAAGCAATAATTGTTCACCGTCTAGTGAGGAATCAGAATCGCCGCCTTTGAGATGGCCCGACTTACGTTCCCAGTCAAGTGGCAGGTCGTCGCTGATGGAAGAACGTGTTGTGGGATTCTCGGGATCGGAATCCGGGTCGTTGGGTAATTGTTTGAATGGTTGGCGCGGACTCTCAGCTACAAATAAGGATGAATTCTTATACTGAATCACCAAAGCGATTTTAGTAAAGCTAACTTACCTTTAGGCGCTGATGTTGACAAAGCCTGAGCGCTGCTTTTCGAAGACTTTATATCCTCAAATGTTTGTGAAACTTTACCCTTAATTAATTTCCATGTTCCAACAGACGCTGTATCACCAGACAGCGCTGCTATTAGATTTGGCCCTGAAGAGGTGGGTGAAAGGCCTTCGATGCTACCCGATCTGCGTTCGAAAAATTAGGGATATGGGATTATTTCTCTGTCAGCAAATCACAAAAAAAAAATAAATATTTTAATTTTATATGCTGTCGCTCAGAAATGTATTCAAACATGCAAATATTGCCGCCTGTTAAAATAAAATTGAATGTGATAAAAAATACATATTTCGTTTTGTTGTCTGGACAGAAAAACGAATACACAGAATTTCTGTGACAGAAATCATGTGGTGTAGTGGAAGCCAAATTGTAGAGTAATTCTCTAGCTAAGCTGACCTTAATATCGTGTACAATACACATGCCTCCTTAAAAATGTAAACGAGCATACAATAGGATAGGTTAGGTTAGGTTGGGCGGCAGTCCTAAGCTGGACTTACTTAGACTTAGGGTCCTTTGTGATACCGCATGAGGTTTTTAATTATCCCCGTTCCCCTGTAAATCACTTGGTGCTTAGCAAAAAAGTGCGTGGGCTTCTAGCATTCATGGCCTTAAGGTGTTCGAGATCGTTGAAGAAATGGCTCCCAAGAGCTTTTGTTCTCCGTTTTGATAGAGCCCTGCAATGGCAGAGATGTGGGATGGTGTCCTCTACGTCTTCATCCATGCAGCGTATGCAGTAGTCGTTCCAGGGTGCGCGCAGTCTAGTCCATTGGCAACTTCTATGAATTAGAATGTTTGAAGAGAGATGCTGAGAGTATCCCCTATATCTGTATCAGGCAATGTCATTCCATGTCGCGCGAGTTCGTCAGCCTTGCAGTTTCCCTGAATTTCGCAATGGCCAGGTATCCAGACAACCTATGTGCTGAATGTCCCAGCCATCTCGTTGAGAGATCGGCGGCATTGAGCAACTACTTTTGAAGTCAGCAACATTTTTCCCAGAGATTTAGTTGTCGCCTGGCAGTCAGTGAAAATGTAGATATCATGACTAGGAATCGTATCACACTGTAATGCGGCCTTTAAGATAGCCATCAGTTCCGCCTGAAAAACACTGCATGAAGGAGTCAGGAAGGCGGAAGCTGAACGATATGCCTAACTGTTCCGAATAAACCCCACCACCAACCCTTTTGTGAAGCTTCGATCCGTCCAGGTAAACATGGATTGCTCCTCTTTTCCTGACAGTGTCCAATGACCATTCCTCCCTTGAGGGAAGAAGGATCGTGAACCCGGTCTTGGAATTACAGGTGGGTGGTACATAGTCGGTTGTAGGAAACTGAGTAAGATCGTTCAAAATTTTACAGTGACCGATATGTGGATGCGTACATTTCTTGGTCGGCTTAAGCCTAATGGCGGTATTACATACCATCTTTCCTGCATATAGATCCGTCGAGAGAAAAGTTATCAGTAGAGAAGTCAGTCGTTGAACTTTGTCCATTCTTTAGCGTTAACCTTTTTGTTGAGAGAATCCCACCAAACTACCAGTATAAAATAATCACTTTTACCACCGCGGGTAGTAGTTTTTGCCAATGGCATTACAATAAGATACTGCGTAGCCAAAACGTTGGATAACACTATTAATTATATGTAAATATCTATGATGCATCGTACGAAGCAATATTCGTGGGTATAACAGGAATGAGTATTCCTAAGCTCATAGCCGACTGGGTTATAAGCATGCTGAAGTCCACAACTATAATAGGCGAACTAGAAGAAAGTAGGCAAACGGTAACGACCACTCGTGACTGCCCTAAAGGGGGGTCCTTTCTCCCCTATTGTAGTTCTATGGGTAGGCTGGGATGAGGAGACCTTATGCTCCATAATGCAGTCTGCTCTAAACGTAATCGTAGGGTCCACGATAAAACTTGGGGACTACAGTGATAAAGCCGATTGCCTAGTGGCCTAAAGCAAGCAAACGATCTCCAGCGTCACTATCCGTAAGCTCCACCGCTTGGTTTGTGTGGCTATAACGAAGACCATGCGCACGTGCTCGAAAGAGGTGCATAGAGTTATCACAGGCATACCGCCTCTAGTTAGAGAAAGAGACGTGCTGAAGCACCCTAACACTAGCCTAACCGAACCTAAAAAGCTTGGAAAGTGGGGACTTAAGGGGTCGTTTTGGTGTCCTCGAAACCTTTTAGAAATCACCCCATAGTAAAACTCACAGACTCAATGCCACCGACCCTGACCTTTATAAAGCCCCACTAAAAACGGTAATTTCCATGTTCGGCGAGGAATCTCAATTTTGGTACACTGATGGTCCCAAACTTGAGGATGGGAACACTGGGGTCTGCGTTTATGGACCTAGATTTAAAAAAAAATGTCCTGATGGACATATACTCAACCATATTCCAGACGCAAATATTCATATTTGATGTCTGTGTCTACGAATGCCTTCGCAGAAAGGCTAATGGGACAAGAACATCATAACGGATGTTAAGAGCACTTAACTCTTGCAAAACGGTGTCAAAGCTAGTAGACAATTTCAAACTGGTACCGAAAAAATTTGCAATCAATAACAGCGTAACCTTGTGGTGGGTTCCGTATCATGAGGCCTTCGATGCCAATGAAAGGGCTGACACTCTAGCGAAGTGCGGTGCCCAACGGAGCCTTGTCCGTCCTCAACCTTTCTGTGGTCCATCCAGAGGATACACTGCAGAGCTCCTGAGAGGATGAGAGGACTTGCAAGGAGCAACGCAATGGCGCGCGATAAAAGGCAGTTCAAGAGAGGGCTTAAGAACTCTCACCGGATGCCTGACAGGACACTGCATACTCAGGTACTATCTGCAGAAAATGGGCCTCTCCTAAGAGACGAACTGCAGATTTTTTGGGCTAGAGGAGGAAACCTCGGAGTATGTACTGGTGATTGCCGGCGCATATGTAACTCGATTAAGACGTATACACGTTGGAGAACGATTATCATCTCCATCCAGAATGTGGAAAGTGTTTAATTTTATTAATAGCCTAAGGCTGGAGTGACTAGTTAAAAGTTAGCACAATAGATCTAGTTAGGTCGCAGCTCAATATGTATGAAGTCATGACCAAAAATTACAATAAAACTATTACCAGTTAAAATAGTTTTAATTTAGAAAAGAGCAAACCAAAATAAGTTAAAAGTTTTTTAAGATCAAAAGCATTTAAAACAAATAAAAATTAATGCAGAGTGCACGGTTGGTCTTGTATTAACTTTTTTTTAATACTTTATTGAATTAGTTCTGACTTTTTTCGCATTTCAGTAGTGAATTTGCCGCCGAAGCCGAGCCACTTGGGAGGCCCAACGTTCAATTTCTGCTTCCAGCAACATCAAAAAAAGTTTTTTTCAAATACCGCTTGCCCCTCGGCAGACAATGACAAACCTCCGAGTGCAATTCTGCCATAAAAACTTTCTTCGGAGGTGGAGTAAAATTGTAGATCTCTCCATTTGGGTCGGCAATATCAAGAAGCGGAACACGAATTGGGGGAGAAGCTCGGCCAAATATGGAGATAACATTTAAGTGACAAATATTAATTAATGGAATCAAATATGATACAAAGTTCATCCCCAAATAAGCTATTATATAATATTAAAACTCTTTAGGGGTTTACGGGAAACTGAAAAAAGCCTTGAAAACTTCGAAAAACTCTAAACTTTTATTGAGAGGTCAAGATTTGTTTGAAATGAAAAAAAACCCGGTTTGTTCGATAAAATCAAGATTTCAAGAAACCACCCAAAGATATCTAAAAAAAACCGGTAGAAACCGGCTTGGAGAAACCGAGTCGATCACCCTACCAACAGGCTTATAGATATTAATGTTTCAAATGTTGGCAATCCCGGGCAAAAATCCCGGGTTTCATTTTCCGTACTTTTTTGACGACTGAAATTAGGCATTAGGCAATTAGAAATTTCAACAACACTACTGTTCCACTTAGATTCGCATTTTAAAATAAAACAGCGGCTCAATTTGTTTATTTCAGAAAAAAGTATTTATTTAATTACTTGAATGGAGATATTTTTTCTTAATTTTTTTTTTGTTTTTCTCTTTATGTTCTTTCTTAAAATTCATATACTGTTGCTATTTTAATTTTTATTTTTATTTTTCTTTGTTATAATATTGCAATTAAACTGTTCGATTTACGTGTGTATATGCTTTTGGATCTTTTGTTCTATAACCACAGTAGTTAGCTTTCATTTTAGATACATACAAGTACTTGTTCTTATTGTTGTTATTAAACATTCCTTCTTTCGATAATTGAGTATATTTCGGACAAAGAATTTTCAATTTTCCTTTCATTATTATAGTTAATCGCTTTTTGCATGTCTCGAATCTCTTATTATTTATCGCTGTTTTGTTATTGCTGTAATGGGAGTAGAGAGCAAAAACATAGAAAGGAACCCTTTTTCATTTCATCGGGTTTATTTCAATGTTTGCTACATTGTTACAATATTCAATCACTAATCGGGTATGTCTGTTTAATTTAGATGTATTGTGTGTATACAGATTCTAAGTGTAGATGCACAGTTATCGAGCTTAAACTGGTTATTTTTTCTAAAAATAAATCTAGCAATTAAAAAATTAATCGGAAGCAAGCAAAAATAATCGAATTAAAACAACATACCTACATACATACATATTTATAAATCAAATTGGGAAATATATATGTAAATCCTCTGTTGATTAAGCTGAACATACACAAGCAGACTTGTCTGTACTACAAGTCAAGTATGACATGCCGTCGCATCGTCGCATAGTCGGGTGTGCTTACCCAGCAAACATTTGGATTAACAAATAAGTCAATTAACTTTATTTTTAAACTGATTCGCATTATATCTTTACAGAAGGCTATGTCGTGAAAAAAAATAACACAGGAGCCCATGTGAAGCCGTGTAAACGACTTATGTATGTACGGTGACTCGTATTCGTAATATCGAGCCCTAACCGCCAAAATAACGTAAGCGACATTTTCTTCAAAATTTTATTTTTGATGCAGAAATGCATCTAGATGCTCTAGGAATATTTCTACATCAAAATGAAAATTTTGGAAAAAAATTTCGCTTACGTTATTTTGGCGATTAGGGCTCGATCTTTTTCTAGTTAAA